ATGCTGTTCATGTTTTCTGTACTGTTTCCCTGATTTTAGGGGTCTCTCCTCTTCCAACTCCTCCTCAGGTGAGCCAGACATTCTGCTTGTGTCAAGATTTTCAGTCTGCAATTGGTCACCAGAGTCACTGTCATCACTATCCAGCAGACCCTGCTGAATCCAACGGGATTTCTTCTTCCCCAGGGCAGTAATGTTCTCTTTTTCCTCCTCATTTTCCTTGTCTCCACCCAGGGTGTCATTCTGCACAGAAGAGCTGCCATCCTCTCCATCTTCACTCTCACTGTCCTCAAGCACCTTCTTGCCTTTTGCTTTTTTACATACAAAAATCTCTTCCTCTGAATCTGACAAAATACATTAGAAGAAGATAAATTATGCAAGCTACAGAGAGGGAAATTCCACAACTTCATTAACAATCAATCCATTAAATTTACACATCTGTTAAATTTCACAGATGCCAACACCTGTAGCAGATCAGCTTATATTCAAGTTTCAAAGCCCCTTTCTTCCCACAAGGCAGCAGAATTGACCCAAGTTGATGTTTAGAGGTTTTTAACCTTTTTTTAAAAAAAGGCAAAGCTAAAATTTTTCTAGAGCCTCACATCCCAATTCCTATTTCCTTTACTGTAGATTAAAAAACCAAACAAGCTGTTCAGAGATGTGCAGATGTCTGCCCACATTCTGAGCAAGAGAAGAGGCAGGTTTTTAAGAAGTTGTCATTGCACCATCCAGCTCAAGCAACAGCAGCTTCTTAAAAAGGTATTGATAAGACAACAAACACAGTGTTGGAGGCAAGAACCACCAGGCCCAGCCCTGGCTCCCCACAGACCTCTGTCCCCTGTGTCCTGGCTGCAGCCCCCCGGGGAGCCTGCCTGGCAGCTGCCCTGCCCGCTGTCCGAGTCGCTGTCCAGGCCCTTCTGCAAGGCTGAATCCACATCTTCCAGGGGAAGCTACAAAGGAAAGCACAGGGTTGTTGCTGCCGGGGTGTCTGGTGCCCAGGCCTGGCTCCCTGCCCAGCTACAGACACAGGGCCCTTGTGTTGCAATGATGATTTGGTATTGACATGAGGTGAGGCGATGCACCAGCTCCTACCGGTGCTTAACGAGCCTGTGCACAGACAAACCCAGTCCCGGCACGGGCCGCTCAGGGGGTGCTGCTCGGAACCAGGAGAACGAGAAGAGCGGAAATTCACCCTTCCACTGCCGCATTGCACCTGGATTCATTATCCAAATAGGGCCCAGAAACACCCGTGGGGGTTCCTTG